ATTATGGGAACTCGCCACGATTTTAGTCGTATGCATACATATCCTCTTATGAAGAATTAGAGTCCTAATTCGTAGTTCGTAGTTCGTAGTTGTTGGTTGGTATTTTTTATGGATTACAGAAATATCTCGTATTAATCCTTGAACCAAGTCCGGGTTTGTAAATTGTGGAGTTGTTAGACAAAGTTCACAGTAAAAGATAAATATCTCCGTAATCCTTTTTGAGAATATTGGTTAGGTATTTTCAAATATATTAAAATATTTTTATGCATGAGGAAAAATAATTTTAATGTAATTAAAATATTTGAATTAATTAGTAATAAAAAGAATTTGAATTAATAAAATAAATTTAGAATTTATTATAGATATATTAATTATGAAAAATAATAAATAAATAAAAGAAATTAAATAATTTTAATTAAAAATGCAGGGGGGATGAAATTAGTTTGTTAGTAAAAGGATGAGGTGTGAATAATAGGGCCATAAATCCAGATGTTGGATTTAGGCCCAAAGCATAAGGGGGTGCAAGCTTGTACGCAGTAGCAAAACTTGGGGGTTGGTTTAGCAAGGGCCCAAGTTCAAATATTGAACTAGGCCCAATAGCGTAGAAGGGGACTTCATATGGTTTTAGAAAGAAAAACGTAGGGTGTAAATAAGAATGGGCTTAGGCTCAAGGAAAAACATTAGTGTACCGTTTGGCTCATGTGTTGGCGAGTGCATAACATTACGATGAGGTTGCAGCTTTGAGAATGTTTGATCACAATCGTACAGTTGTGATTGAAGGCGCATAGTATGAGAAACGCATGGGATTATGGACGATATTATATTTTTGTTTTTCTTCATTTTCACGTCATTTACATTTCATACCTCTATCTCTCTCCGTTCTCTCTTCCCTTATTCTCCTTCTAACAACAAAACAACATTGCCGCTCCAAACCCGAACCCCTCATCGATGGCGGCGATGAACCCCCCTCGACCCCAAGTCAAACCCTAACCACCCTCAATTCAACATAGCAAACACCAATCGTGACAAAAAAAATCAAAATATGCAAAAGCTAAGTTCTTCGGATGTTATCTCTATCGCGATGAATCTCATTATTTTTTCTAATTTTTGGTCCGATCTGGTTCCTGATCTTCTCATTTTGTGTTTGACATGTAGAGAGGATGGTGATGATGGTGGTGGAGGTGCGGAAACGAGAATGATTGAGGCGCGACGGCGGATTTGACACAGATCTAGGGTTTCAGACTTCGAAACCCAAATCTCGGCTCCTTCGCTTTCTTCTTGTTCTGTCTCCGTAAAGATTTTTTTTTTCAATTTTTCTCCCCTTTTCGATTAGTTTTAGGGTTTTATTTTTAGGTTAGATTTTAGATGAATTAGGAAATATTGTTGTGATTTCTGTTATAAATTGTAATTGACGAAGATTGTGTTAGAAATTAGATTAGATTTATAGATTTGATTGTGGAGATTTGATTTTGTGTAATTTTTAGAGGATTCTATATGTAATTGATGCGATTATAAGATTTGTTTGAGATTTGATACAAAATTGTTTGATTTTCACAGTAATTGTTTTCTGTTTCTAGTCTTTTTCCTTTTCAATCTCTACAATGCTCATTTTTTTGGGCTCCTTGGGTCGCCGCTAGCATATAAGGGTCACACAAAAAAAACCTAATTTTGACCTTCGTCAACATTTGGTTGACCGGTTTAATTATTTTAAATCTTAATTAAAAAAATTAATTAACTTAATTAATCAAGTTAATGCAATCAGTAGTAAAAACAACTTAAATGAACAGCAGTCCAAAAAAGTTAAATGGGCCAACATATGTTCAGTTGTTGGGTTTCCCATACACACCCCCTCTTATCACTAAAAAGGGCCTCAAAGCCATTTGGCCGACCATATTCTAATCACCCCCCCCCTTTTGCACTTATACAAAGATAACCCAAATGGGCTTAGCTGCGAAGCAAGCTAAGCCCAATACACCCCTCTCTTGTTTAATAAAAAGCAAATTTAATTGACTGCTATAAAAAAACTGCAATGGGCCTGCAGCAAAGTGGGCCAATGAACCAAGACTTCATTTTCAGAAAACAAACCCCATTTCTACTTAATAATGTACCTCATTTCTAATTTCAAGGAAAACTTAATGGGATGTCATCTCAATAATAAACATACCCCCTTTATAAACTTAAACCACATACTATATGTATAAATTTGACAATAATAATCTAAACTTTATATTATAAATAAAATGATAACATAAGAAATTAATAACAATAAATTGGTTAGAAATCAATAGGGAAAATTTAGGGTATGACATATGAGTCGCGAGTTTGTCATTTTGTTTTTTCTCTGATCCCTGAGTCGCGAGCTTCTAACTCTCGAGTTGTCTGTTTGGTTTCTTCTTTGATCCCTAAGTCACGAGTTTCCAACTCTCGAGTTGTCCATTTTATTTCCTCTCTGACACCTGAGTCGCAAGTTTCCAACTCTCGAGTTGTCATTCGGTATCTTCTCTAATCCCTAGGTCGCGAGTTCTCTACCCCTGAGTTGTAGATGGTTATCACATACAATCCTCCAACAGTCGTTTGTTCAACTTCCGTTCATCTTTTATGGTGTCGTTCATTCGTGAAGCTCCATAATGTATGTTCTCTGCATTGTACAGGAGAAGTGTTATTCCCCAGCAGAGTTCGTATTCACCTTTTGTGAGTATGCTTGGTTAAGCATCCTTTCCACCTTTGTTCGCCTTTGTAGACAGGTAACATAATTTCTTTTTCCTTCGAGGAAATCTTCGGGAATATCTTACCATTGCATGCCGAAACTTGTTAGTGGAGGCATCTAAAAACAAAAATCATAAAAATTCCTACCAGTTCTTTGGAGTGCAAATTTTCAGGTTCTTTTAGTATTTAATCTTCTTCCACCTTGAAAGTTTGAAAGGCTAGCGCCAATCTCACCTTCAGGTTTAAGACAATTAAATAGGGGCAGCTGTTACACCCCAAAATTTTCCCTCCTAATTATACTTTTATCTGGAATAGGCTTAGCATTTCATTCACATCTTTACATTAGGTCATGTTCATGGCATACATTCGCTTTCAATAAAAGCACCTGAGGTTCAAAAGATCAAGGAATCGTGCAATTTAGGATTTCATAGTGACTGAGGTGTACATATCCAATAAAGCTGATTATTTCTGATTATTTTGGTTATTCTGCAAGCAGTGAAGTATGGAATTAAGGTTGTGATCCATGGTTATCCTTAGTATCCTTCTCATCAGGCTACAAGGCTAGTAGGGCTTATTTCCCTATGTTTGATCAAAGATCGGGGCTTTTCAGCTATTATACTCCAATGGATGTTCTTCTTCAAGAATCATCGATCACGAGTTAGGGTTTTGCATAGTGGTTATTTTAAGAACAAGGCATTGGATTTGATATTTAATCACAGATAAGGATTCTCTTTATTATGCTAGTGGTTATCAGATGGATCTTAAGGGTTTTGTTTCATGACATTCATGTGGCGCATTTCACAATTAGGTTTTTTTGTGAATCGTCATGAGAAAAATGGTTCATTTGGTTATGTGTTTTGCAAGAAAATGTTGTGGATTTGATGCAAGATCATCTCAAAGTCAAGTTTAAGCTATTAGGGCTTTCATATATGGATCTATTAGTGCAAACATGGAATGAGTTTGATTGAGATTCAAGATTCTTGGTTCAAACAAGGTTCATAAAAATTCAAGTTTCATTCGAGATTCACTCTATATTGCAAAATCAAGAAGAAAGCTCTAAATTTCAAAGTGAAAATTGGAAGAAGTTTTGTTCATTGGTATTTTCGCTCATTGATATTTTCGAGTCATGATAAGCATGAAATGTTAAGAAGAAGAAGAAAAAGAGTCACAAAACCATAGTTCAAATACATTTCGAATATACCATTCAAAAACCATTGTTCCATTACAAAATTAGTGTAAATACACCATTGTTACTTTAACAAACTCATACAAAATACCAAAAATAGCATTACAAATACATCCGAACAAAAATTCCTAAATTCTAAACCTAAATTCTATCTTCATCTTCCAACTATGCTTCATGCTTCTTTGCTAAAAATTCGTCCAAGCTTCATGCCCAAGCGTTCACATTTATTCAATTTTTCAAGCACATATTCCAAACTAACAAATCACATTTCGAAGCCTATCCAAAACCAACCTACATCTGAACATAACCTGCACCATTCATAAAAACAATCCAACTAAGCAAAGTACATAGCCATGTTCTGCTTACACAAAATAATGGTGATTTGCACAAAATTGTTATTCAGCTCCACAGAAAATCCAAACAGAAGTTGTTAAAGCATAAAATCAGAAAAATCAAGAGGAAATACAAAAGTTCAAAAAAAAAACAGAAAGGGACGGAATCATGAAACTGAAATTCAGAAGAATAAAATCACAAACAGAATGAGAGCTCATCAATTTTCAAAACAAAAAAATCACTGCCAACTCATAAGTTGAATAAGACAAAAAGGGAAAAAGAGAGTATATGCAAAATAAAAATGAGAATCATAACCCTCTAACCAACTTTCAATCTCCTTCATCCAATTCCATAACAACCTTTATTCAATCCATGGCTCTGATTTAATCTAGTGTAACAAACTCTTTTGCATCGAACATAATATAAAAACAACACTTGCCTGAGAGATCTTCATTCTTCATAATCTGAGAAGAATCACAAAAAAAACCTCTCATTCATCTCTCTACTTTCCGCTTCACCATCTTCCAAGTTTCTGCATAACCTCCATATTCTCCATAATTGGGAAGAATCACGTTCACACTTCATCAAAAAACTTTGAGAATCATCAAACTCTCTCTCTCTCTGAAAAAACTAGAAGACAATTCATTCTTCACTTAACAGAAAAAATATCCAAAAACTCTCTATAATTTCTCTTGCTAAAACCTCTCTAAACCCTCATCAATTCTTCAATCTCTACACACTTCAACTCTTATCATATTCTGCAACCACATCTTCATCATTGTTTATTTATTATCATCATCCTCAATCTTGTGTTCACAGCTACCGCCTCACCAATTACTGCATCAACAACAATAAGCACGCATAAATTCAAAAAAGCGATGAAATAAGAAGGATGTGGATTAAAGCAAAAAATTGAATAAGCGGAAATACCTGGAGATTTGAGCTCCTTTGGTTTTCTCATCGTCGGCATCATGATTGAAGATGCACCGGACGAATTCCGGTAGGTAAGGTTTAAACACACTCAATATTCAATCTATTTCATCACTTCCATATTGATGTGCAGCTTAAAGTGTTGGATTCGTACCATCCAGTGTGCGATTTAGTGCATTTCATCTTCTATTTTGTTTTAGACGTTGAGTGTCTTCTATTGAAAAATAAGTGTGATTTATGTTGAAAAACAAGTATGAGTTCTAAGTCCCACATTTTTTGGAAAAATGGAGGTTGAACACTTTATAAGTGAGATGACCTATACACCTATCACCTTAAGGTTATGGATAAATATGTGGTGTCTCTCTCACTTGTTTAGACGAGTCTTTGACCTTTAGATAAGTGATTGACTAATGTGAATGCTTCTCTCTAATGATGATTCATCAGTGGTATTAGAGACTGGTTTGAGAAAGGGTACAACTTATTGTATTGAAAGTCTTTCTGACATGGTGGTCAGACGGTGCATCCCGATAAAGTGTATATGACAAGTAAGAGTTTATGTCAATGGAGGTATAAGCATGTGAATGAAACAACTTTTGTTTGAGGGAGATCATAGTAGATGAACTCACACATGAGGGGGAGATTGTGAATTGTTTGGAAAAATGGAGGTTGGACATTTTATTACTGACAGAAGTCATGCATTTACCATCTTAAGGTTATGGGAATATGGTGTTTCTCTCACTTATTTAAGTGAGTCTTTGATCTTTTGGTGAATGTTTGACCTAATGTGAATGTTTCTTCTTCATGATGATCCATCGCATTCAACCTTCTTTAGGTGTGTTTTTGTTGTTCAGTGGAGATTGGTGTTGTTTTTGCATATCCTTGATTCGGGAGATCTAATTAGGGATCTTCTAAGGCACCTGGTTTTTTTACTTTTCCACGAGTGCTTTCTTTATATTGATTTTTTCAAATACTTCTTGTATCCCTTTTTACTTTCTTGCGTTATACTCTAAACCTTTAACGTTTTATTATATTATATTATATATAATTGTATTCACTACTAAAAATATGACATTTGAGAAAAGATCTTTACATCAGGTATAAAAATATATGATGTGAAAAATATTTGCCAAAAGATTTTACATCAGACTTTTATTTCTCATGATATGAAAAATATGTGATTTAGAGGAAAATATAACAAGGTGGCAGTTTAGTAAATAAAATGAAAATTTTTATAAGGGATTTTACATCGGGCCTTTACTTACCCCCGATGTAAAAAGTCTAATGATAAATAAATAAAAATAGAATGACATTTTTGTAAATAAGATGTGTTTTTGTTATAAAAAAAAGGCCCTTACATCGGTTTAAGGCCCAACTGATGTAACATAGTGACTGTTACATCGAACCCTTTGGCCAACCGATGTAAAAACCCCCCTCTTAGTTCACAAAACCTTAATATCCTAATCAAATTCATTACGCCGTGTGCCTTCATCTCTCTCGAACAAAACCGTCTTCTTCCGTCTCATACAAAACCGTCTCCCTCCGCCTCCCTCTGCCTCCGACGAAAGTAAAGAATTTTATTCCTGTTAGATCTGTAAATTGAAGTATGACATCTCCAATCAATCTCGATTTTCTCAAAACAACCCACGCTCTCTAGATCGCTCTTTTCCTCTTCATTTCCATCACTTTCTTCTACTTAGGAAAAGACTGGTCTGATGGCTATCAACAACTCATCTTCTTCACGCAAGACTCCGACCTAAATCTGAATCTCAACCAAGTGGTTTCTATTTCCCCTAATTACAACAAATCATACAACATTTCTTCACTAATGGATCACAATAGCACATAACTTGTTCGACAAAATGCCCTAACGAAACAACCACCACCACCACCGACAGAGGACTCGATGGCGAAATTAGGGATTGCCAATGAGAATGGAACGATGTCGGAGGATTTTGAGGTTGGGGAATTTGATCCAGTAATGGTGGATGATTGGGTTAACGAAACACAAGCTGAGAGTGTTAAGAACTTTGCGATTAAGAAGTTTGGCATGTGTTCGCGTGATTTGAGTGAGTATATACCTTGTTTGGATAATGTGGAAGCGATTCAGAAGTTGTCGTCAATGGAGAAAGGTGAAAGATTTGAACGGCATTGTCCTGAGGAAGGTAAAAGGTTGAATTGTTTGGTTCCTGCTCCTAAAGGTTACCGTGCTCTTATTCTGTGGCCCAAAAGCCAAGATGAGGTTAAAATTTCATCTTTGTTGTTTTTCATTTCGATTAAGCTAGATGTGTATTTTAAGTTTCAATTAGGAGGATTTTATTTCTATTGAATTAGCTTCCTTTTTTTTTGTGTAGGTATGGTTCAGTAATGTTCCTCATACTCGTCTTGTTGAAGATAAAGGTGGCCAAAACTGGATTTCCAGAGACAAAAATAAGTTTAAATTTCCAGGAGGTGGTACACAATTTATACACGGAGCAAATGAATACTTGGATCATATTTATAAGGTTACTTTATTAAGTTTAATCATGCATTTGCAATTCACATTTATTCACTTTTCAATGTTTTCACTATATGATAATTGTTGTACCCCAAAATTTTTCCTCTCATTCTTCAGTAAATCATCCTGGATTCTCAGAGTTTTTCTTAAACAAATCCAAGCCCTGAATTATCATTCTTTTCAAGCAAACCATTTACAAGAGCAAAGTGATCATTTGCAAACTCAAAAGTCAAATTTTATCTTGAAAAAGTTAAATTCTAAATACTTAGAATTTTTCTAAAGTATTTAAGAAAAATAGCACTTCAGAACTTCTGAACCAACCTCCAGACAGAAACGGTCAGAAGTTGCAAGCTTGGCTCAACGCATAACACTCAGTCAGAAGGTGGCTCTTCAGCAGCTACACCAACTCAGTTAGAGGTTGTAAACGTGGTTCAACACATAATATTCAAACAGAACATGTCTTTTTCAGCAGTTACGCAAGTTCAACCGGAGTTTGCTGGAGGAATGCAAAGAAAGCAAAGAAGCCTGAAGGCTCCTTCAGAACATGCTAGAATCAGAAGATGAAGGGGTCAGAAGAGTGAGTGTTACACTGACACAGAATCTCTAAAGTCCAGGATTTCCAGAAGCAAATCCAAGGAACATGCTAGAAAGTCAAGAGAATCCTCAGAATTTGCTGAGACAACAGGAGGCCAAGGTCAGAACTTGGTTTACGTTGTTTCTGGTAAAACAGAACTGCTGGCTCAGGTTTTAGGTAATGATGCAAAATCTCTCACTACAAGATTTTTTGATGTTGATAAATCTCATCACCATTTAATGCTCATTAATGCTCACAACCACTCCTGAACATTCATCCAAGGGGTCTCTCCACGTGTGGCTTGGTAAACACCTTTATGCAGGTTTAGGCATGGGTCTATGCGCCACCTTTCACCTATAGAGGTCGCTTCTCCTCAATCCTTGCCTGTTGTTCCAGCCTAGGCTGAAAAGCTGTCCATCATCACAACTTTTCATGAACTTCTTTCAAAAAACAAGTTAACCTCTACTGCATAATATTGGCGCCTTTAACGTTCAAAAAATCCACAAAGCTTTGCCTATAAATAGAGCACCATTGACCACTAAAAAGGGGGTCCAAAAAAAAAACCCAAAAGCTTTGCTAGAAAAGAAACAGAGATTTTTAGCAAGAAAATACCTTGAAACTCTGTCAAAAATCCTAGTGTTTCAAGAGCCTCAAACACAACTTTGAATCTCCTGCCTCAAAACCTCATTTGTACCCAATTTGTTTCTTGATTAAATAAAGACGCCCATACAGTTTCTGACCATATATACTCTCCATCCACCCCTTCAAAAAGAACCTGTCCAGAACACCATCAGAGTTAAGGCTAGCTCCAATTCACAGATTTTCTCCTAACAGCAAGGTAAGCACCTGCTGACTCTTACCACGCTGTTTAAACATCATCAGATATGCATGCCCAAGAAGCAATGTAGATATCATGTTGTTGTTGTACGTGTTCAGAGGATTTTCATACCTCTGAATGCTTAAGTAGGAAGTGAATCAGTGTAGAACCTGCTTGTGACCTTTTTGGTTCTGTCTTCCTAAAACACTTTGACATTTGCTGAAGTTGTCCCAAGCATGTTTTCTGTTTTGTGGAAAAATAACAAAACTGCAGATGTTCTGGCTAGCACAGGGAGAAGCCAAGTGCTGACTTTGACGTTAGCACATCTGAAGTATGTTTTGCTGTCAATAATATCAGAACTTCTGAAAATTATTGTATTTCCAGCAGGGTCAGAACTTCTGACTTCCCCACTAACAAACTTTTGTCTTGCAGCGCATGGGGGTCAGAACTTCTGACTTTCCCACTAACAGGTTTCTATTTTAAAGGTGCCAGATTCAGAATTTCTGACTCATACAGTTTCACCAAAAGGTTGATAATTTGGCAGCAGGCCTGGGTCAGAACTTCTGACTTCCTCTCAACAGTGCGCTAGCTCTCTCTCTCTCTTTCTCTCTATCTTGCCTTTGTCATTTTCTTTTCTTATCTATTTTTCTCGTTGAACCACCCCATGTACAAATGTGTATCCCCATCCCCTAAATGTTGTAATAGCGTAGGATTTTACATTTCCACCTTTTATTGCTTTCAAATATAAATGCTAGTAATTAGGATGTGTATGGCAAGATAAAATCGATGAAATAGAAAATCCTAATTCAAGATAAACTCTTGCATGCAATAAAACGCAATTGCACACAAACACCCCTTAAGGTATCTCCACTCGGTTGCCTAAGATAAAATGGCCATGTTACGCATGCAAAGTATCTTGGTAAAACAAACAAAATCAAAAGATCATAGTCCCTCGATGACGCTACTCAAAGTTGCCTTATAAAAATGATCTTAGTCCCTAAAAAAAATGTTACGATACTTTGCAACATTTCTAATCATGATCTATACGATGACCCGCGCCTGTCCCGTTTAACATCCTAACACAAGGTTGTTCACCAAATACAATGGTGAAGCAACACTGTTAAAAGGGTTAAAAAAACATAAGAAATATCTTTAAGTAAAATAGGGTAGATGACTCTTAGTTACTTGATCAAAAGCTTGCAAAAACATCCTTACTATTTTCAAACACACTTCACAACACAATTTCAAATCCAAATATTGAAAACTTTTCAAAAGACAAAAACACATTTGTATACATTCAAACAAGAATCATTACAAAGGTTGCCACAACGATGGCCTCTTTTCAAAACATCTTTCAAAATCACACACAAAACACTATTTCAAACAATAAAAATGCAAAGCAAGTGATCTAAGCAAGTAACTAAGAGCCCATGGATAACCATGGATAGAAAGGATGCTAATACCTTCCCTTTCTATAATCTACTCCCCGAACCCGAGAAAACATCTCAAAGGTCTTTCCTGTGCTTTTTGATCTTTCCTTAGGATAAAATAAAAAGTCGGTGGTGACTCTTGCTAAACCGAAACATTTGCAAACACAAACGCAAAACCTCAAGTCAGTTCTCCCACCGTATCACAATAATATTATTCACTTTTCAATGTTTTCACTATATGATAATATTATATGAATTAAAGCTAGATCCAATTATGTTATTATTTTGGTTTCACTTTTGGGGGGCAGTATCAGTGTATCTTGTAGTTGTAGGTTGATGTTGAATATCTGTATTTGCAGATGATTCCTGAAAGTACATTTGTTCAGCATATACGAGTTGCTCTTGATGTTGGTTGTGGTGTAGCTAGCTTTGGCGCGTACTTATTGCAACGGAATGTCATCACTATGTCTGTAGCTCCCAAGGATGTTCATGAGAATCAGGTTCAATTTTCTCTTGAGCGTGGGGTGCCAGCCATGGTGGATGCATTTGCAACTAGACGTTTATTGTATCCAAGTCAAGCTTTTGACTTGATACATTGTTTCCGCTGTAGAATTAATTGGACACGAGATGGTACGTGTTTCTCTCTTTTGTATAATATGCAATAGTTCTTGGTAGTAATGAGGAGAAAATTGATATGGAGAGGTTTGTGGCTAACCAATAGAGTATAAAGAAAGAATGTTGGAGCTGCTACACTAATTGATAACGATATCTCGAGATTGTTATTTGAATTATGACACGTGAAACTTGTTTACTTGTGATGAAGATGGGATCCTGCTGCTTGAAGTTAATAGGATCTTGTTGCGTGGGTTTTTTGATTTTGGTGTTGTCTGCTGATGTTAATTGATGTTATTATTTATTGTTAATATATGTGATTTTGGTGTTGTCTACTGAAGCGACAACTCATCTTCTTGTGGATTGCATGTTGGTATTTCAAGTGTGGATATTTTTGTATAATTTCATTGTTTTTGTTGTAGTAATCCACTGTGTGTAAACTTCCTTATAATTTTGTACACTTGTGTGTAACCTAGATTAGTACTTTTATAACTCAATTGTTCATTTTGAAGAATATATATGTGCATTCTAGCTATTTGGTGCAATGAAATTACCCTTCATTGATTAGACAAATATGAAATTAGCGACCTAAATATGGTATGTGTTATGTGGTAAAAATATGAAAGAAAAAAAAGTGACCTAAATATGGTCTCGTGATGTTGGAAAAATATGAAAAATTAAGTAAAAAAAAAAATCGAGAATGCACCTGAATTAGTTAAATATGGAAAATATATTACATCGGGCCTATTGAATAAAACCGATGTAAAAAACCATTTATTACATCGGTCTAGCTAAGCAACCGATATAAAATATTGTATTTTTAAAAAAAAAAAATTTACATCAGATCTAATATCCAACCAATGTAGTAGGTGCATTTTTCACATCAGGCTATAGTCCGATGTAAAATGTCTTTGATTTACTATATCGTTTGAATTTACATCGGACTCATATCTGATGTAAAAAGTACTTTTCGGCCGATGTAAAATGTAGTTCCTGCATTAGTGATTCATTTTAAAAAATATATTCTTCTCATATATATATATATATATATATATATATATATATATATATATATATATATATATATATATATATATATATATATATATATATATATATATATATATATATATATATATATATATATATATATATATATATATATATATATATATATATATATATATATATATATATATATATAAATGTGGAAAATCCTAAACCTAATGTCTGACATGAATTTTGAAAAATAAAAAAATTTCATATAAAAAATCATACTTTGAAATTTTTATCTAAAATTCAAGTTTGGATACGAATAAATAATAATAATGATCTTCGCTCCAAACTGAAAACCTCTCTATTTATCAAAGGAAATGAAGAATATAATTACTAAAGTATTAATATATAAATATACGTATTTTTGAAATATATGATATATATTTTATATAATTTAAAATATATTTAATAAAAATATTTCTTTTAAGAAATGAAGAGGATTTTTATCCCTTCGCTCCACCCTACTTTCACTAAGTTGTCATGTCTATTCAATTCATTCTCACACCCTCTCCTGTCCTCAAACTCTGCCGTACCATATTGCATTGACTCATTCGATTTACTCTTCTTTTACACTTCATCAACTCATTTAATTTCTTGCCTTAAAAAACTTTAAAGAGATTAGTAATTTACATGACCGAAATATACAGGTAACAAACCCTGCCTTTATTTGTTAGTATTTGAAATTTGTCTTTACTATTTTACCAAATTTCGTGACAAAAAAGTTAGTGAAACTTTAATTCATATTTTCTATCTTTAATTTTCTTTATTAATTTTGATTTTTCTAGTTACTT